GAAGCAGACTCCCTGCCGAGCAGGGAGCCCGATGCGGGACTCGATCCAGGGACTCCGGGATCATGACCTGAGCCGAAGGCAGTTGCTTAACCAGCTGAGCCACCCAGGCGCCCTATTATTTTTTATTTTTAAAGATTTTATTTATTTATTAGAGGGAGCACGCACCAGCAAGGGGAGCGGCTGGCAGAGGGAGAAGCAGACTTCCTGCTGAGCAAGGAGCCTGATGTGGGACTCCATCCCAGGACCCTGGGATCATGACCAGAGCCGAAGGCAGATGTGTCTCTCGATGTGTCTCTCTCTGTCAAATAAATAAATAAAATCTTTAAAAAAAAAAATAAAAAGAAACCACAGGCATTTATTTGTATAACCACATTCATCAATTTCTGTGCTATTTGAATCTCATAAGTATAGTAGTAATTGTAACTGGCATAGAGCACTTTGGGAGCAACCACAGGTGACTCTAACCAGCTAGTGAACGGCTTTCTACCAGCCTTGGGTGCTCACTGTGCTCCAGGTAATAATTTACAGAGAAACTGGAGAACATTGCTTCATCCATTGGGTTCTTTAGTGGAGATTGGCTGAGAGAGAAATTCTACTTAGTTATTTGGGTCTGATTGCCTCACTAGGCTGAAAAATTCAGTCATCCTAATCTTGCCTCAGTTTAGATCAATAAGTAACTTATCATCTACTTATCTTGTTTTTAAAGATTTATACGAGCGAGGCTGTCTTGCTAGGGAGACTTGCCTACAACTTCTTGCTTCAGTGATCTTGCTTGGCAGTGACTGGCCCCATCTTCTGTGTAGTAACACTGCTTGTGAAGTGTGAGGTCACCTTTCGCACTAGCTACCTGTTTTGGATTCATCCTGTCCCAGTATTTCAGTTTTTTCTCCTCAGTCTTATTTTCTCTTCCCTTCCCTTTAATGATCTCTCTGGTCTTTTCTGAAGACCTTCTCATAAATACTCCTTGGTCCTCCTGAGTTTTTAAGAACCGTAACTTTTTTAAGTTGTCTTCCCCCCCCCCCCCGATTATAAAGGAACACATGCTAATGATAGAAAATTTGGAAAAAGGATATAAAAAACTCAATCATCAGTAACCATCCATCCAAGAGAGTTGGAGCCTTTAAAGATATTAAAATACTCATTACAGACTCCTTCACTCCTTTGATGTTTTTCCTTACTAGGGACTGGGGTTTGTCAGTATTGCTTTTATTGAGCAATGCCTGGCAGATAACAGTATTAAAAAGAAGTGACACATTCTGGGGCTCCTTTACTTCCCTTTCTCTCCATATATTACTCTTTGCTCCAGTGTCTCTGCTTTTGGAACTTAGGCTCTATGAAATCTGCATGATGGGTTATTTTCTATTTTTCTTTGTATGTTTAAAATACTTTATATTTTGGGGAAAAAAAGTTTTAAAGATGGTTCTGTTTCCTGTCGTATGTTGTGTTATTTTTTTTCTGTCTGCGTATTAGTTAGAACATCAGTTCAGCTGATACATACAACTGAGCCCCAAGAGGATGGTGGTTTGACCAAGACAGTGACTTATTTTCTGTCCTGGATAATGTAGTCTTTGGGGAGATGGCCGCTGGTATGGCAGCCCTGGACCATGTGTCATCCAAGGACTCATTCTCCTCTCTGTGGCTCTGCCAACAAGATGTCGCCCCCATCCTCACAGCCCAGGATGTGTCATCACCTCACCCATGTGCCAAACAGCAGAATAGAGGAAGGGGACAAGGAGGGATAAGCGTACTCCCTCTAAGAACATTCCAGGAAATTGCTGCATCACTTCTCCTTATATCCCATTGGCTAAAACCTAAGTTACATGGCCACACCTAGCTCCAAGGAAGCCTAGGAAATACGGGCTTCTACATTGGGTGACCAGGTACCTAAAGATAAGGGATTTTACATGGAAGGAGAACAGATAATGGGGGGTGGGGGACACCCAACTAGTAGCTTTGACGCTCTGCTCTAGTCAGTAGACTCCAGAGACGGGGGCTGCTTGATAGCAACTTCTAGTACCCAGCTGGTGCCTAGCCCAGAGCAATTACAAGAGATTTGTAACAGGAGAGAATGAAAGTTATTTTTTCGAAGTTCTTTGGAGGAAAGGGTCCTCCCACATGGTTGTGAGAAGCAGGTAGTTTTTTCTCTTTGGTGTTTTTTACCAGAGTAAGTTTCTTGTGTATCATCCACATGGAGAAAATGGAAGGTTCTCCTAGGTGGTTGTTATTTATCTCCCGGGAGAGAGCATCATTAAGTAGTGCCCTCTGAAATCTTTCTTCCTTGCCGGTTCTGATCTGCTTTTTGTCTTGGGCTCCATCTAAAAGTGCTTGACTTAAGTTGCTGATAAAATACTGACTTTTATTTTCCTTTGTTCTTAATTTTCTTGTAGTTCAAACAAGCAGTATATAAACAGACCATGAAACTCTTTGCCGAGCTGGAAATTAAAAGGAAAGAGAGAGAAGCCAAAGAGATGCATGAAAGGTATACATCAGTATATTCATTTAATCCATCTAAGTACCTAGAATAACCAAAATTGATCTTTGGGGATTTTCCTAATGAAGGATTTTTCTAATCAAGGAATTCTATAGTACATCATTTAAGAAACTGTATAAAATAGTTATCTGAAACAGCCAAACTTTTGAATCACGAGGGTAAGAAGTTGTCTCTGACTTTTGGGAAATATTGAATAGACTTGTCCTTTGGGAGTTTTTAATCAAGAGTGCTGTGTGTTTTCTTCCTGATTTCCTGGAGTTAAATAGGCAGAGTTATTGAGGCCAGAACCTTTTGTGTGCCTAGTGGCTGCAGCTTTGATGAGTCTGTAGTATTTATTGTATAGTGTAATTACTTACAAAATATTTATTGTCCCAAAGTATGATTTCCCTTACTTATCAGAAATCTTGAGGTAAATTTAACTTACGTATTTTGTATTGTTGATTGGTGTTTAGCAGTAACCGTATTTTGCTAGTTGAGGTTGTATGAAATTGGGTTTTGTCCAGAGATCCTCTTGAATAAGGACCTCTGCTATTGTAATGGTCATTCTACTGAAGTAGGGTGGCCTGGGTTCTCGAGATGGCTTTCTCCCGGACTGAGCCCCGAACCTATAGACGGAGCCCATAACCTACGATTTTTGTTGGCGGGGCCTTGACAACCTTACATGTCTGTCTGTGTAACCGGGGTATTTATACCCTGCCCTGTAGCCCTGCCCGCGGTCTCATCTGTGTGCTTTAGAGGAAGACGTTCATGAAAAGGCTCTGAGCCTTTTCCAGACAGCCATTTTTATAGAACCCTAGGGAATTGATTTACCTTATATTCTTGCTTCTATCGGGAGTGGCTTAACTTGTATGGTTAAGACAGTCTCTAAGTATCATATAAATACTCTGGTTTGGTTTTCTTCCTAGGAAGCGACAAAGGGAAGAAGAGATTGAAGCTCAAGAAAAAGCCAAACGAGAAAGGGAGTGGCAGAAAAACTTTGAGGTAAGTTTCCAGGGTGGTCAGGGATTTTCATTCCAGAGTAAGAAAACTTTTCAGCATAGAAACTTGGTTCCTGGGGCAGACGATCAGGGAAAGGGCATGCGTGGGGAAGAGCAGAAGCTTTGGAGAATGAGTCCTGGCTCAGCTGCCTGTATGCTCTCTAGCCTTGGCACGGGCAGGGAGGGTCCCTGAACGGCTTGTTAGAGATTATGGAAGGCACAGCTGCCAAGTGGGCTCGAGAAAAATGCTTTGCACGTTTAGATTAGGGGGTAGTCATGGAGTGGTGCCCTACTTAAGAGGTCTGTTAGCAGAAACTGAGGTTCTTCTGACCCTGATATCCTGGCTTTTGAACTTGACTCCTCTGTAACACCCTGGTTACATTCTTCAGGTACTCAGCCAGTTTCCTGAATTGAGCCATGTTTGGTGTCTTTTCTTCTATACATTCAGGTCTTGGGCTAGGGATTGGTTAACCAGAGTTGATAACTGTGTTTCTGTCCCCCTGCTTATATGCAGAGAGAGAAAATGAGTAAGTCCCTTGATAAGCAGGGAGAGACCCTCGGGGCCCTCTCAGCGTAACGGCTAGGCATCGTGCTGGCTTTGAGCCTCCATCCGAGTTTTGCGGGGCCAGAGGAGGGTGCAGTGGGAAGAGCGGCTGTCCTGCTGGCTAGACGTATGACTCTGAGAAAGCGATAACCTCTGAGCTGTGGTGTTGTCATTTGTGAAATGGCGGCGGCATTACCCGCTGCCGGCCGCTTGCTTGTGAGGATTAGGAAGAGCATCTGCTAAATATCCAGCCCTGAGGTCCCCGGCACGTGTTGTGATGATATTGTCCTCTTCTTCCAACCCGCAGCTGATCCTGCCTTCTGGGGGTGGGATGCCACTTTTTGTGGGCCTGTGGAAGTGGGAGGAAAGCTCTGCTGTGTTCTACTCTTGGATTATTCCAGAGGACTGAGACGGGCTGGGCTATGGGGATGGCAGAGCAGGTCCAGGCCCTTCTTCTCTTCAGCTAGTTTCCTCACCCCCAAACCTCTTTTGTGCTCAGGAAAGTCGAGATGGTCGTGTGGACAGCTGGCGAAACTTCCAAGCAAATACAAAGGGGAAGAAAGAGAAGAAAAATCGGACCTTCCTAAGACCACCGAAAGTAAAAATGGAGCAGCGTGAGTGACCACCTGGGGTCACAGCCGCAGAACCTTCCCCCAACTGTCTCCCCTCCTGCTTTGAAGGACTCATTCTTTCCTCCCATTTCCACCCCAACATAGAGTAGTAGTTGCTTTTTAGTCCATTTTGTTCTCAATACAATTTAATATCGATCAGAGTAATTCTTTTGTACATTGAAATGAGGGGCTCAGTTTAAAACGAAACCTTCCCCCACCCCCACCCCTAGACCAACCAGGACTGGAAGGTGCCACCATTGGTTCTGCCTTCTCTTCCCACAGCCTGTAACTTAATGTTTTGTACTTCACCGAATTGTGATGGTTAGAAACTTCGTGTATAGTTTGTGGAAATCATCCAATTAAACATATTGCTTAAAATGGTGTTGCCGTGACTTCAGAGACAAGCCTGGGCCACCTTAGGAATCCCCTTTGCTTCAGTTGCTTGCTTCCGGGCGTGGCATCCTTTGAAGCCCCAGATCAGACAGGGAAGGCAGTGGGCACGCAGAGCAGTCGCTCGATGCCCTGACCTTCCGCAGCGTTTGGCATGTGCTCTCCCTTCTGACTGACCGTTCCGCGTGGCATGAGGCTCCGAGCCACCCAAACCTGTTCACTTTCCAAAGAGCTAGCCATCTTCCATCCGGTATCATTGTGTCCTAGCCTGTCTGCATTCGTTAGTGGTCATATTCTGTACATGTAATAAATTTTTATACCCTAACCATCGATGTACTCTTCCTTAGGTATAACTCCAAGGATGGGTCCCCTGGCCCAACTCTGAAATGCTTTGGAGTTGGACAGAGCTGCTCCCACATGCTCCCTACCACTTAATTGCTGCACCTTAGTCTCTTCATCTACAAAATGGGAATATAGATCGGTGTGGCAGCTTTTAGGGAGGATTAGCCATGGCATATATAAGTTTACTGTTACGGTGCTCAGAGGCTGTTGCTAATATCCTATTATGTGTAAAATGAAGATACTGATTATTTCAAGGATTAAGTGAAATAATGTGTGAGAGCACCCAGCTTATAGTATATTCTCAAATGTCCTGCTGGCTGTGAGAGACAGGATCAGCTCCTGGGTGGGATACAAGGTGGAAAATAGAAAGATGGCACCTAAAATGTGAAGATAGGAGAAACTGGGTGACTTGTAAGTAGACTTGATGCAGTGTTTTATAGATAAGGAAAGAGGTACGGTAATCACAAAGGCACACTGTCTTGTACTGAGACACTGCATGTTTGAGTTGCTTCTCTGTGGGAGGGGACAGAAGCTTGGGTGTCTTACTGTCCTTCCAAGTGCAGCCAAGCAGTCGACACTGCAGATGAATCTGAGCACAGAGGGTGGGTGTGGCTCTAGTTGCAAGTGGACAGAAGCGGAGTGGGGGACCCTCTGCCAAGTGATACAGTCAGGAGGGGATGCAGACTGTCCTGTGCAGGGAGCAGCGGCGTCTCTTCTAGCCAGGTGAAGTGCTACCCACCTCGCTCCCGAATGCGCGTGTACACACCCATCCCTTCCTCAGGGATTCTGTGGTTGTCCTATGTCAACTGTTTTGCAAGTTCCCGAGGGCTGGGCCTGGGCTTTGCCCCCAGGGAGCTTGGGCCACCAATCAGCTGTGGGTATCCTTCTGCGTTCGACAGATATGCTGGCGTAGGAATAAAGTGGTGAACAAAGTGGTGAACGCCATGGGGGCCCTGCTGCCTCCCTCAGTCTGCTGGGGCCCATGGATGAGTGGGCACGGGCAGACATCACGCGAGGCACGTGTGTCCACTGCTCTGAGGAGGGGGCCCTTGATCCTGTTCTTACCAGCCAAGGCATGTTGCCTGGAGGAAGTGACATTTCTTTTTTTTTTTTTTTTTTAAGATTTTATTTATTTATTTTATAGAGAG